TATTAATAGTTATTATTTTTTATCATAACAGTATGTTTTGATATTTTTATAATGTTATAATATGTTAATATTGAAAATTTATTATTGAACCGCTGTAGTATCTCATAATCAACCAGTCATAAATGTCCCGCAAACGCACCAGTTTTTAATCGCTGTACCAGTCGTACAAATCGCCTAATAACGCTAGAAACCGCAACCATCCACATCCGCAAACTCCCGCAACCGCAATCGCAACCGCCGCGTTTCAACCAGTCAGACCCTTAGTTTAACTCAGATCTCACAATTGGGCTTCAATTAAAAGCCCACAGTTAATCAAATAATAAAAATTTAGACAGGTATTAGTCGGTTAAAATCGGCTTGAAAACTGATTAATCGGTTAATTGACTGATTTTTTTGGTCATCCGATTAGTTAAATTCTTAGATCTTAATTGTGGCGGTGGTTGGCCGAAGAGCGCCTAGCCAATTAACTCAGATCTCACAATTGTGCTTCAACTAAAAGCCCACAGTAAATCAAATAGTAAAAATTTAAGTAGATATTAGTCGGTTAAAATCAGTTTGAAAATCAATTAATCGGTTAATTGACTGATTTTCTAGTCATCCGATTAGTTAAATCGCTTAGATCTTAATCGTGGCGGTTGACCGAGAAGCGCCTAACTGGACGATTAATCGTCTGGGCCCACATTTTAGTACAGAGGTCACTGAATAGCCACAGTTTTTTCTAACTATGGAGCTATAGTTACAAAAAAAAATTCAACCGCGAATCGTGACTCTTTTCCAAACCATGATTGGGCTCTATAGCCCTAATTGTGCTATAGCTAAATTTTAGCTATGTCGAAAATTTATAGTTGTGGTGGTATTAAATTTATGTAAGATCGTGTACATATACTTTTCCAAATCATACGGCCAAACCATGCTTATTAAAAGAACTGAACAACATTATTTATTAAGAGACGGAAAAAACAGGAGTAATCAAGAGCGTCAACGTGGGTTCGACAAAAAATCACGAGATGTAGCAACAAAAAGCTGCTTACTTTGCTTTACACAACATCTCCTCAATTTCTACATATTCTTTCCCTAAGTTAGTTAGTCAATTACTCATGTCGCAACATCTCCTCCCAAGCTTTCATCTCTGTAGATGTATATATATTGAATCCTATATTCTATGGTCTATTCCAAAAAAATAATCAACGGTAGATGTCTACTTTTATAGCTAACAGTATCGGGTCCATTGTCTCTATTGTTGCAAGATTTTTCTCTTTCCGACGCCGTCCTAAGTCAAACCCACGACCCACCACACATATCAGCTACTTCAGGATGTCTAAGAAACGCCCACTTTCTTTGCAGGTTATTTTCTATCTTTCAAATCAAGCCCATTATTGCCTAACGCAATCGTAATCGCAATCATAGGCACTGGCATTGTTTTCTTTAGAAAACAATGGTTAATTCGGTTTCATTTAGAAAATTTCTATGGAGTTAGAATCAAAATATTTTCCATTGGTTTGGAATGGTTATGAAATAAAAATATATATTATAAACAATTAAAAATGATACTTTTAACCATATAAACGATATCTGGTTCTGGTTGGAATTGTTTATTCTTTTCTTTTTCTTTCAAGGATAGTAATTTACACATATATCATGTGGTGAGAACAACAAGAAATTGAACAGTATCTGAGTCTTCCTGACTATGCATTGAGACTAGTCTGTATAAGAGTTGAATCAACTTTATGTGGAATTGTGTTTTTTTTTTAAACTAATTTGTGCAAATGACTGGAATCGTTGTTCTATTTGAGTAATAATTGTAGAACCAATTGGACATATAAAATACTAGACAAATGATAATATTTGAACCACATGACCACCATCCCAGCACAATGGTCATGCTTTTCATGTGTCCACGGTATTCGGTGGAAACTAATTTATTTAGCTTTCGTTCATTTTTTTTTTTTTTGACAAGAGAATTTGTTTTATTTGAATATTTGCAGAATGGATTGTAGTAAAAAAACATCATAAATTAATATATGTAAATTTATTCAATTAAAAAATTGCTCTTCAGATTTGTATTCAAAAATAGATTTTTCATTTTTTAAAAGAAGAAAAAATTATTTTCGTGACATTGTATACTAATTAAATTTTGCAGGTTTGGATTTTGTCTCTTTTTAGATTATTTGATAAAAATTTTGCATACAAATTACATATCCTAAAACATAAATGTGTTTATATGTAGTTTGGTGAAATAACACCAAAATGTTAAAATGAAAAACAATTATAGATGAATTTTCTTAAAAAAGAAAAACAAACAATTTGTTAAAAAAACAATATAATGTTTTGTTTACCTTTATAAACCTCATACTTGTTTTATATAGAAAAGTTATTAATTTATTAATGGATCATGTATTTACTTTAGAGCACCTCCAACGTTTACCCTAATATCTCGAACATTAAAAACAATTAAAAGAAAAGAAAAGAAAAGGGAGAGAGAGTATCACACAGTATCTCCTGCAAGACTTTTTCGGAAACGGTTTACATACAGTTGTTTTAGATATCAGCATTTATTTGATTTACTTATAAACCAAAAATTAAAATAGCAAAATCATGTTAAAATATTATATTAACAGTGTGAACATTTTTTTAAGATCCCGCACCGTTAAGGGTGCTCTAAGAGTATTCAAAAATTTATTATCCTTATTATTTTACCAAATTATGTTATATTTTACACTAGCTAGTTTGGATCTTAAAAAAACTTATTAATTTATCATGTTTATTTATTTATCAAATAATTAATTTATAGAGTTTTTGTAGTACTCTATTTTTGTTAAATTGGCTTCATTAAATGTCAATTTCTATGCTCTATATCATAATTTCTATCCGTTTGACAGAAATACTATAGTTTTCATGTATACATCCAAAGTTTCTCATGCGAAACCTAAAGCTTTGTGTTTGTCATTGACTCATTGGTGTAGACGGTTGACCTCAAGGTCAGGATGTGTTGCACTGGTTGTGTGAGGATCGTTAGGAAGGCAATCTCAAAACTTCGAGGTAACAAAATAAATCTACAAACATTTTATGACATTTTATATTAATTTAGAACGATAATAACTATTATATTTTATTAAATTAATTAGAGAAATATTAATTTATGTACAGATTAATTGGATTAAGAAATTAATTAGAGTTTCAAAATTATTGCTTTATCAAATATTAATTTAGTGATGTTATAATGTATAGATAATAAGTCAATAATCTCTCTTGTTAAAAAGACAAGGTTATTCTATTTAATGAAATTTGTTGAAATCACAGGAGTTGATTCAGTAGAGGTGGAGAGAGAGATGGGAAGAGTGAGAGTGGTGGGATACGTCGACAGAAACAAAGTACTCAAAGCCGTGAGACGAGCCGGGAAGAGAGCTGAGTTTTGGCCATACCCTGAGCCTCCACTTTACTTCACATCTACTCGAAACTATTTCGTAGATCCCTCAAAAGAGTTTAAAGAGAGCTATAACTATTACAGACATGGCTACAATGGTACAGATCAACATGGTAATATCCCTGTAGGTTGTCGTGGAGACGACAGGGTTAGTAACATGTTTAATGACGATAACGTCAATGCATGCCGCCTCATGTAGCTGCTTAAAACACGACTGAAAACTTGATGCAAATGCTATACATTAACAGAATAAAAACATGAGAAGTTCTTTTTCTAATTTGTACTGCAACCATTTTATGATGTGTAAAAAAAAAAATCACTATTGTAAGAAAAAATAAAGAATGGATATGACTATATGATGTTTATATGGGAACATAGGGTCCTTCGGACTGTAAAATTTGTTCAAAGAGTGAAACTTGATTATATATATACTAGGTTAATACCCGTGCATTTGCGCGGGATAAGAATTATATAGAAAAATTATTTTATATCTTATTATTTATCTTGTATTTTTATCTATTATAAAATAAAAAGTATATATATATTGAATAATTAAAAATCTGTAACTATTATATATACAATTAATTTAGCGAGAACTTAATTAATAAATCTAATTAATAATCATATTTAAAATATTCAATCATATTAATATATATATAAAATAATCATATTTGTTTATTTACAATCACTTTACATAAGTAAATCTAATTAACAAATAATATTAACACACACACACATATATATATATATATATATATATATATATATATATATATATATATATATATATATATATATATATATATATATATATTATACTTTTTATTTGTATATCTAATAAATGAAGCTTCACACTTACAAGGTTTTATGATCATTTGTATATTTTTATAATAAAAATTTAAAATATTGATAACATCATTTTTAATGTGAGAGATTTAATATTTACAATAATTTATTGTCATTTGAGAAAATTAAATTCAAAGTTTGTCATTAAAGTAATAAGTTCTCAATATTTTTTCTATGCAATTTCAGAACTAAATATTTATATATTGTTAAATGGTATTTAGTTTAATTTAAACATCACTAAAAATTTACATATATATACGTCTAATTTAAATATCTATTAAATGATATTTCTTACTCATTAATTATATATTTGTTTGTATATTGCTATAACAAAAAAATGAAACTATTAATCAAAAATATTATATGTGAAATTTTTAAAGTTTTTAAATTTATAGTCGTTTTTAAAAATTCAAAATATAACATATATAAAAACTGATTTTTTTTTGTTATATAGTTAATGTTATTGTTTAATTTATTTTCACAATATAAATTTAACAAAAAGAGTAGAGGCTATACATTTTTTTATCAAATCTTTCTTATTCAAATCATTAATTGATATATATATATATATATATATATATATATATATATATATAATATAACCATATTATGTAATTCTGTAAATTTTATTTAAAGAAATAATGATTAGCATTAATAATAGTTTTATGTTTAATTTAATAAAAAATATATTGTATGTTTATATGGACCAATATTTTTCTTTAATAAATTTAAAAAACATTTTCATGATGACACGTGTCTACCAAAACATGTTGTAATGTTTCTAAATTAATATATAAGAGATATATAATAACTGCTGAAAGAGGTGGAACTCCGTCCACTGGAAAGCAAAACCTATCTAGTTATAAGTTACTCACCCCACTTCAAATCCAGCCCAAGAAATCGGACCAATAGCTCAAAGGTCCATTAACAGGACAATGGGCCCATGAAAACGAAGGTCTTCCTGAACTCGAAGAAAAGCCAATGTCGACCTAGCCTTATCGAACCAAAACGTAAAGATGATTGAATCATTAAAAACAGTCTTTAACGTACTAGACTGTTATAGGGAAACACGTGGACGGATGGGATCAAAAGTAATAAAGACACGTGGGAGTAGATGAGCTGAAGTTCGTGAGATGAGTTCGCTATATTACTTCGGTAAAGAAGGAAATAGATTAACTACGAAAATATTCTTGTGATTTCATCTTCTTCCTTTTAGGTTTCTTAAAGAATCTCTCTGTAATTTTGCATTTGGTTCAATGTTGGAAAAGATTTTTCTATAAACGCTGTTTAGGTGTTTTATGGATACCTATTCGATTTTATCGTAACAGAACTACAATCTTCGTTATCAGTTGTATAGAAGCCATTCATCTTCGGAGTTAGTGGCGATTTTGATCGAAATCCTGATCAAAAATTCGGAATCCATGGCAGGCGTAGAGTTCATATAGTCTTTGAAGGTGATTCAAGCGATATATTGTTAATCAGCTCTTTGGAATTAGAAGAGCATACAAGACCTTCAGCAACAACCTCCTCTTCTTCATTTGTCCAATTAGATATTTTGCATTTTCGAGTTTCACCTTCCTTAATCTGCTTAAATGTAAGAATATTATGATTATTGACATATATATACTGGATACTAGCTTCTGCAAAAGAAAACAAGCTTGGAGATTTTTACCAAGGACACATCTTGAGAAGAGGTTGGATTCGTGTCCAAAATCACTTTATTTACTGGCCAAGCTATTTTGGATCCCACAGCTTCTTCAAGAGAAAACAGATCTGTTGTAGGCCTCCAGAGAGATGCTCCTGAATTTAATGGAGACTTAACAAGAACCACCACTGCATTAGGACCAATCGGTACACGACCAATTTTGTACGTCGGTTCATTAGAGCAATATTCTCCTTCATCAACAACTACATCTTCTGAATCAAACCAATTCAGTATTTGTACTTTCACTTCTTTGAATCCACCGCTAGTCTCAGATGTTTCAGTATCACCATTACTTTTCTACAAGAAGGAAAGGAAATTCTTAAATTTTTTAGACTAGTTAACCAAATGTAATGAAGAAATGCTACCTTCTTTGCAGCTAAGTCTAGGACTATTCCCTTTACATCTTGAATCCGAATCTCCAAATCAGCAATCTTTGCGTCTCTAGATTGAAGAAATGTTAGCTTAGTAGCCGTAACCCCTCTACCAAACCCTCTTACTCGTCCAGGTTTGTCTTTTCCCAAAATCTTGCTCACATGATCTTCTTTTATGTTCTCAGAAGCTGATGTAGAGTCCTTTTGACTATCAAGTGATTGTATTTGTTCCTGATACAAAGATCTATACACAAGACATAACTAATTGATCATAATATATTAATCATACAAAATATAACAAGTTCCATAACTTTTACAATAGTCTCAGCAAACTGAGGCTTCACAGATCTACCATCAGCATGAGTATCCTGCAATCCATACCTGACTCCTACTTACCTTACTTGGATCTTGGCTCTTTTTTTTCCTATATAAAACACATAAATATCTCACTACCATTTTATCAAAACAAACTGTACATTAATATATAGAAGTTTGAGTACGCTTTTTACCATATGATAAGCTAAACGAAGCATTCCTTTGCGAGTGGTTGTGTGAGGAATCTGATTTTTTCTCAGCTCTCTATACTTGTTACTTATTTCCTGTAATATAAATATGAGTATGATTTAAACTATAAGACATGACATATAAATAAGCAAGTTACTTAGTTTAAGATAATTAACCGCGAAAGATTTGGTAGTCTTGCTTCTAACCAAAGAGTTCCACACTTGAATGGATGAGATGTTGCTGGGTTTTAAAACTATTCTCTCAGCAGTAGTCTTCGCAGCACAAACTTGTGTCACTAGCCTTGACTTCCCAGCCCTCCACAAACTTTCCAACTGCTTAAAAATAACAGCTTTCTGCCACCCTTCTTGCAAGTTAAACCTCCCCTGCATCGAAATAAGAAAAGATGAAACAAATTTATAATTTCATGCTTGATCTACAAAACTTAATTGCGTATATAAACAGACATGAATTTCTTCCCACATTGTTTCTTCAGTCACTGCATCAAGTCTTCTCTAATCTGTAAGTGTTACTGGAACGTATTCCCTCACAAGAGGACCAAGGAAAGATGATAATGTCACTGAACCATGTCCAACATGGTCACCTAAATCAGTGAATGTAACTGCAACATTTTCATTAGGATTTTAAAGACACTTTATGCATCTTTGTTGGTCCTCTTTAATTTTTTGCTTTCACCTCATTCTCTGGTAACACAACTCCTTCAGTACTAGAAATTTCATCATGTTGAGCATTGCTAACTCCATCTTCTTCCATATTGAGAGCTTTCTCTTCTTTCTCGTTCTCATTCTTGTCATTCTATTTCTCTACGTGTTCACCTTCTTCTTCCATATTGGCATTTTCTTCTTCTTCCTCCTTCTGTTCCATATTGGCATCTTCTTCTTCATCCTCCTTCTGTTCCATATTGGTATATTCTTCTTCATCCTCATTATCATCTTCAGCCTCATTGTCATTACCCTTATCTTCTTCCACAGCGTCATCTGCCGGCGTTAAATCTTCTACCTCATCATCTTGCGGAGTTACATCTTCTACCTCATCAACATCGGAGTTACATCTTCTACCTCATCATCCTCTGGTGTTACTTCTTTAGCAGTCAGTTACAGCCACTGTTTTTTTTTTGGGAAGCCACTTTCTTTGTTATTGTCTTCTTATTTACCTTTTGTTTGTTTCGGGAAGCTACAATTTTCTTGGGAAATTAGCCATTGTCTTCTTTGGGGAAGCCACTATCATCTTAGGGGAAGCCACTGTATTGTCTACCTCCAAACCTTGATTACGTCTACTACGACGATAACTGACTTGTCCTCTTCCTTTTGTCTTCGGCGGCATTTCTGGAAAGATCCAAACGAAATACATTAGATCGAAACCCAAAAGACTCTAAATCAAAAATCAAAATCACAAAATTCCACATGCATATTCATAAAATATAAGAATCCGGACCCAAAATAGTCTTAATCGAAACCCAAAATCACAAGATACCACATGCATGTTCACACAAACCAAGAATCAAAACCCGAAATCAAAATCTTTTTCAATTCATGTGATGATAATGAAGAACCGATTTGATGAGAAAGAACAAAGAAGCTACGATTGAAGAAAACATACCTTTTCCAGCTTCCATTTCTCAGAGAAACAATGGAGAAGAGTTTCGTTTTGGAAAGCTTTGGTTTTGGAGAAGTGAGAAAATTTTTAGAGAAGTGAAAAAAGAAATAAACTTATATGACAAGTAGGCTTATATATTAATATTTTAGATATATTCAT